AGCCACTTAGCATCCACTGTGGAAACAGCTTGTGAGCATAAATTGCAGACATTAAAATGGAATTTAGCAGCAAAGCAAGTAATAATCAGGACTGCACTGTGTCCCTGTTACTCTACTTAGAGTCTCATTCAGTTTTATGCAGATTTAGATTCATCGGTATTTTACTACTGTGGTAATAAAATTTTAGATTCCAGTGAGCTAATGCAGGCTAGAAGTTGGGAAGATGGAAGTCCAGGTTCATTTTCTTCAGCTATATTCTTTTCCTTAAACAATTATTTCCTGAGTAACTCCCGTGTGCCAAGTACTCTTCTAGAACAAAGAGTTTACCTTAGGGTTGGAGGTGAGAGGGAGACAGTCCATAAGTGGTCAAGTTCAATAACTGTAGGTGCATCAGGAAGTGATACATCCTGTGGGGAGAGACGATCAAATGGAGGTGGAGGGAGCGGAGGAGAGAAGGAGGTGGCAGTAAATGAGCGATCAGGGCAGAGCTGTATTACAGGAAGGTGCCTGTTGAACTGACATGAAGGGGCAGTGCCTGCAGGACTAGAACTAGGCTGAGTGGGACTCGACTTGCCTTAGGTGCAGAATTGAGGGACTGCTGAAAAAGCTCAGTAATCAAGATAGATAATTCTTTAATGCAGCATTTTCAAAAATCAAAATTAATGCAAAAAATCGGTAATGGGCAAACATTTTTTTTTCCATTTTCGTCTTATTTGAAAGAGGCAGAGAATGATAGAGAAGGGTCTTCCATCTACTAGTTCACTCCCTAAAGGCCTGCAACAGGCCGGCGCCGCAGCTCACTAGGCTAATCCTCCGCCTTGCGGCGCCGGCACACCGGGTTCTAGTCCCGGTCGGGGAGCCGGATTCTGTCCCGGTTGCCCCTCTTCCAGGCCAGCTCTCTGCTGTGGCCAGGGAGTGCAGTGGAGGATGGCCCAAGTGCTTGGGCCCTGCACCCCATGGGAGACCAGGAGAAGTACCTGGCTTCTGCCATCGGATCAGCGCGGTGTGCTGGCCGCAGTGGGCCAGCCATGGCGGCCATTGGAGGGTGAACCAATGGTAAAGGAAGACCTTTCTATCTGTCTTTCTCTCTCACTGTCCACTCTGCCTGTCCAAAAAAAAAGGCCTGCAACAACTAGGACTGGGCTAAGCCAAAGCCAGGAACTCAGAACTCAGTCCACGTCCCAACCTGGGTGGCAGGGATTCAAGTACTGGGGCCATTACCTGCTGCCTCCAGTGTACACATAAGGTGGAAGCTGGAATCAAAGGCAGAGCCCAGACACAGACTTAGGCACTGTCATAAGAGATGCCAGCATCTGTAACACCATCTTTACTGCGACAAAGCTAGTATTTAGTTTTTAATTATTTATTTGAAAGGCAGAGCAACTGAAGGATCTTCCATCCATTGGTGTACTCCCTACATGACCACAACACCTAGGTCTATGCCTAGCCAAAGCCAGGAACCAGGAACTCCATCTTGGTCTCCCTCATGGGTGGCAGGGGTCCAAGTACAGGAGCCAGCTGCTGCTGCTTTCCCAAGTTCATCAGCAGGAAGCTGGATCAGAAGCAGAGTAGGTGTGACTTGAGGTGGTACTCAGATCCACACTTCATTATGGGCTGCTGGCCTCGCACACAGCAGTGGGACAAGTGGTCAGACTTTGGGAGTATGTGGAAGATGGAACCAACAGAATTTTCTGATGGTTTCTATAGAAGAAATAAGAACAGTTAGGGTGGGCGATGTGGTGCCCTGGGTTAAGCGGCTGCCTGGAAACACCCACATCCCCTATCAATGCCTGGGTTGAGTTCTGTGTTGCACGTGTTTTGGGAGAGAACAGCTGATAGAACCTCTTGCACTTGTTCTCTCACTCTGCTGTTCAAATAAATAAATAAGCATTTTTTTAAAAAAAAAAGAAAAGAAAAAGGGGCGTGGGTGTTGTGCAACACGTTAGCTACCGCCTGGGACTCATCCCATATCCAAGTATCCGCTCTGCTTCCTATCCAGCTCCCTGCTAATGTGTCCGGGAAACAATGGATGATGGCTAAGTGTTTAAAAAAAAGAGAGAGAAAGGAATGTCCATTATACTCCATTCTAGTTTTATTTTAGTACTACACTGTTTTAAAGTTGACTTTTATATTGATTTTTGTTGTATTCATTCTTTTTTATTAGAAAGACAGAGTTAGATAGAAAGAAAGAGATCTTCCATCCAGTCTTCACTCCTCAAGTGCCCACAGTGGCCAGGGCTGCAGCCAGACCGAAGGCAGGAGCACAGAACTCAATCCCAGTCTTGTACACACCACACTGTTTCAGTTAATGAGTGTGATCTTTTGGCCAGATGGCACAGAGAAGCATAAAGTTTAGTCATTTGAGCTGATGGCCATTGTCACCACGTAGATTTTATGATTCGGAGAATTTTGGGGTTGAGTCAGAATCAGGGCTGGACTTCAGAGCTGGTCGTCCTTTCATTTCTTTAGGTGTGCCTGTTAATAGATGCTGCAGCCACTCATGGGAAGAGTCCACACACTTTAATTGTTTGGTTCCTTTTGCAGAATGGGAGTCGAAGGAGGACACCAGGTGGAGTTTTTCTGAACCTCCTGAAAAATACTCCGAGTATCAGCGAGGAGCAAATCAAGGTAGTGATGTTGCCCTTGGCCTTTAGGCTGTCATGGTGCATCTTCCCTGCAGCCTGTAGTCTCATCTCCTGCTCATCTCCCCGGCCTGCTTGCCTTTCATTAACCAGCTTTGTCGCGGTCTCATTTCGGGTAAAACTCGTGCCTTTTGTAAGCTCTTGCCTCATTTTTTTCTTCCCTTTCAGGGCCAAGATCAGTTTTTTTTTAATACAGTACTTTTTCCTGGTGTCTTACACATAATTAGTTTTTCTATTCCCCTAAAACTTTTCATTTTATTTTGAGATACAGTGAGAGAGACGGAGTCCTGTGATCCTCTGATTCACTCTCTACATGTCCTTGATAGTCAGGGCAGAACCAGAGACTCAGTCTGGATCTCCCAAGCTGGTAGCAAGGACCCACCTGCTGCCTCCCAGGGTCTGTATTTGCAGGAAGCTGGAATAGGAAACAGAACCTGGACTCTAACCCAGGCAATCCAGTGTGGGGTGCAGGTATCCCAGTTGGTAGCTTAACTGCTAAGCCAAACACCTGCTCCTGTAACTTTTTATTAGTGAAATTTTCAAACTTAAATAATAGAAGGAAGAAAGATGTGGATACCCATACTCCTCCTGGACTCAGAGGTTGTTTGTATTTTAGCATTCTTACTTTACCTACACAATTTTTTTTAAAGATTGATTTTATTTGAAAGGCAGATTTACAGAGAGAGACAGACAGAGATCTTCCATTCCACTGGTTCACTCTCAAAATGGCCAAAGCTGGGCCAGACCAAAGCTGGGAGCTTCTTCCAGGTCTCCCACGTGAGTGCAGGGGTCCTAGCACTTAGGCTATTTTCTGCTGCTTTCCCAGGCACATAGCGGGGAGCTGGATTGGAAGTGGAGCAGCTGGGACTTGAACCAGTGCCCATATGGGGTGCCGCCGTTGGGCAGCGGCTTAACCTGCTACACTACAGCGCTGGCCCCTACCTACACAATTTTAATTCTCCTTTAAGATTTTGAGATGGTTATTTTATAGCGTCAAGTTATCTTAATTATGGTTCTGGTGACCACCTCCTCATTACTTTTTTTCATGAATTCCTCCACTTGCAAATTTTTTTTTTTAAAGAAGTATTTAGTTGAGAGACATAATGACAGGGAGAGGGTAATAGAGAGAGAGGAGGGGTGAATTCACTCCTGCAATCAGGGATCCATTCCTGAAGTGGAGCTTTCGTGATCAAAATACTTTGTTTTTTTTATGATTTATTTGAAAGGCATAGTGAGAGGGAGAGACAGAGAAGAGAGAGATCATCTGTCTGCTGGTTCATTCCCCAGATCGACACAGGCCAGGAGTCGGGAACTCTCTCTGCGTCTCCCAAGTGGAGGCAGAGACCCAAGTACTTGGGCCATCATGTGCTGCCTCCCACACAGTAGCAGGGAGCTGTATCGGAAGCTGAGACATCAGATCTGGAACTGGCATCTGATGTGGGGAGCCTCTGTCACCAGCAGTGGCTTAACTGCTCCTCAATGCCCGTCCCCTCCAAGATTTCTTACAAACTAGAAAGGAGGTACTAGAAACTAGAAAGAATTATTTGTCATCATTTTTCTGTTATTCAGAATGTCCTCTATGGGGATTCTTCTACAGTGTGGTTTTTAACAACTCCAAGTTTGATACTGCGCCAGCTTTGTGATGCAGTGGGTTATGCTGCTGTTGGGACACCCACATCCCGTATCAGAGTGCCAGCCCTAGTCCTAGCTACTTGGGGTTTCAGATCCAGCTTCCTGCTGACACCCACCAGGAGGCAGCAGATGACAGCTCCAGTCCTTGTGTCCTGCCGCCCTTGTGGGAGACGCCCTAGCCTGGCCATGGACTCTGTGATTCACAATGAGCCTGTGTTTGTTTATTTTGTGTGGGAAAAGGAGATGACTACAGAATCTGTGGCAATAAATGATAGTTCTTACTAACTAAAGTTGTTCTTTTGTTACAGGACATTTTCTACATTGAAAATCAAAAGGAATATGAAAATAAAAAAGCTGCTAGGAAAAGGAGAACACAGATACTGGGGAAGAAGATGAAACAGGCCATCAAAAGTCTGAATTTCCAGGAGGAAGATGATACATCACGAGAAACTTTTGCAAGTGACACAAATGAGGCCCTGGCCTCCCTTGACGAGTCCCAGGAAGGACACGGAGAAGCCAAGCTGGACCCCGAGGAAGCCATCGAGGTTGACCACTCTCACGACCTGGACATCTTTTAAGTACATTTTGGACATTTGGGGGATTAAGCCTTTCTAAAGTATCATTGTAATAATTTCTACTGAGATTGCTTTGTTGTACTTTGCACTGATTAACATGAGAAGACAAAACTGTTTCTTGTTTTAAATAAAAAATAAATGAGGGGAGACAGAAGCGATTGACAGAAACATTTACAAATGGCTCGTGCCTGACAAAACTTTATATAGCACAAGATCTAATTTCTCAGTCTGTTGCATGTGCTAACTACTACGAGTAGTACTCATTGATAATCGGTCTGGGCGGAGGTCATTATAACATGCCATTCAAATGTTTGTTTTCTTTTTCTGATTTCTCTTTCTGGTGAATTATGTTTTGATTTTAACATTCCATTAAAAATGCAGATGGGATACACACATTGGTAAGCTGTTCCTAATGCATTCAAAAAAATTTTTTTTTGTTTTCTCAGAACTCTTAGGCAGTTTGAAGAATAGAGACTAAAAATAGGTTTAGACTGATGGATCCACTCACATATTTGTTTATCCAGAAGTAAATAAATGTCAGAAACTTTTCAAAGAAGCATTGACTCTTTGTTTTTGACTTCTTACTAATTACCAATGTGATTCATACCTTTGTATTACTATGGATATTTTTAAATTTCCCACTGGTGGCCTGCCTAAGTCTTAGCTTGTGTTCAGGAACGTAGGTATTTAAAATGTCACATCTGCATGAAGTTTCAAATTTTCAATTTTATTTTAAAAAGACAGTAAAGATAGTTTACATAGTATGTTCCAAGAGGTAGCTAGTTTATAAAGTATCTCAAACAAAAATATGTATAATATATGCAGCAAAAATGTATATAATTCAGCAGTTATAGACTGTTCTTTATAGAGTGTGTACTTGAAATTTTTCAGTAGTTCCTGAAAATTTGGTCATGGAAGTTGAATGTAAGGGAAATATGCTTATTGGTTGCTTTTTATTTATACAGAATGGAAAATAAAGTGGGTTTTTGACAGTCCTTAATGAGCTTCAGGTGACTTCATTTTTAATTTTCAAACTCAACTCTTCTTTCATAAAACTGCTATTACCAGGGCAGGCCTTGTGGCATGCGGTGCTAAGCCACTGCCTGGAGCACCTGCCTCCCATATGAGTGCCAGTTCAAGCCCCAGCTGGTTTTTTTGTTTCCCATCCAGCTCCCCGCTAATGTGCCGGGAAGACAGCAGAAGATGACCCAGTGCCTGGGCCCCTGCCACTCACATGGAAGACCAGGATGGAGTTCTGGCTCTAGGCTTTGGCCTAGCCCAGTTCCCAGTTGTGCTGTTTGGGGAGTGAACCAGTGAACAGAAATTTCTGTCTCCTTTCTGTAGCTCTGCCCTTAGAGTAAAATTACATGAATATTGCTACTACTGAAATAATGTTGTAAGTAGGTAACTGTGTATTGTATCTGAGATTGCTTATGAGAGGGATTTTAAAGACAGTACATACAGCTGGTTAAGCTGCAGCTCGGGCTGCCTGCATCCCCTGTCAGGGTGCTGGTTTGAGTCCTGGCGACTTGGCTTCCAATCCAGCTTCCTGCTGATGCGGGTAGGAGGCAGAAGAGGACCCAGGTGCTTGGGTTCCCGTCAGCCACAGGGCAGTTGCAGGTGGAGTTCCTGGCTCCTGGCTTCAGCCTGGCCCAACCTGAGCTGCTGTGGGCTTTTGGGGAGTGAACTAGCAGATGGAAGATCATTTCTCCTCTGTCCTGCCTTTCAAATAAATAAATCTTTCTAAATAAATAGCTAACACATTATAAAAGATATAATCATCATTCAGAATATTTAAATGCTACATATTGATACAAATATTACTAATTTTACTACTGAAAGTTATGGGGTTTTTAATTTTTTTCAATGTATTTGAGAGACCTCCCATCTGCTGCTTCATTCCCCCAAATGGCCTCCAAAGCCAGGACTGGAGTGGGCCAGGGCCAGGGCCAAGGCCAGGGGCCAAGAGCAAAATCCAGGTCTTCCACGTGGGTGACAGAGATCCAACGACCTGAGGCATCATCTCTGCCCGCCCAGAGCGCATTCTCAGGAAGCTGGAATCAGGAGCTGGATGGAGGTGTCACACCCAGGCGCCTGTGATAACCAGCGTCTTAGCCACCAGGCCAAATACTTGCCCCAGAAGTTACAATTTCTGAAAGGTACCAATGCTTGAGGCTGCTTTATCCTTTTTTTTTTTTTTAAACATTTATTTGTTTGAAAGAGTTAGAGAGAGAGGGAGAGAGAGAGGTCTTTCATCTGCTGGTTCACTCCTCAATTGGCCACAATGACTGGAGCTGAGCTGATCCAAAGCCAGGAGCTTCTTCCATGTCTCCCATGTGGGTGTAAGAGCCCAAGGACTTGAGCCATCTTGTACTGCTTTCCCAGGCCATAGCAGAGCTGGACTGGAAGTGGAGCAGCCGGGACGCGAACTGGCGCCCATATGGGATCCCGGCACTGCAGAAGGCAGCTTTACCCACTATACCACGGTGCCGGCCCTGAGGCTTCTTTGTCTTAAGACTCCTTTTGCCCACCTTCGTGGTTCATTTTCATCAACAGCTGTTTCTTTACTGTTAGGAAACCACACGGATTCTGTCTTGGATCACGTCCAACTGTCATACAGAAACAACACTTTGGTGTTTATTTCTTTAAAAAGGTCGCCCATTAATGTCACACTATATTCTGGTTATCCAAGTCTAGGAAGTGTCCAGCTCTCTCCTGAGAGGTGTTGCTGGTAGTACTCTGCACACCAGTGTATTTTACAGTAGTTCTTTCTGCCCACCTAGCAGGATTCCTCCTGACGACCAGATTTACAGCTGTCATCCTCCGTCTTCCCTCAGAAGTGCTCATCGTCACCAGTGATCTTTCTTTGCTAAAAGGAGTTTGAGGGGCCAGTGCTGTGGCTCCTGGCTTCGGATTGACCCAGCTCCGGCCACTGTAGCCATCTGGAGAGAGAAACAGTGGATGGAAGCCCTCTTTTTCGGCTTCTGTTGCAGTGGATTCGTTTCTGAGAGGAGCAGCGTGGTGGGGGCAAGAGGCGCGGAGTCACCACACAGACCCCAGGAGTCGGGTGAAAGCAGGCCTGAGGCCAGCAGCCCGCAGACTCATTTATTTCAGTTGACCACATCTTATATAGCCAAGACCAGCCAATCTGGTCAAGGGGCGGTCTATGCCCCAACCAATCACATCCTGTTGCCAGGCAGTTTCCAAAGCCATCCAATCACAGCCTGTTGCCAGGCAGTTTCAAAGCCATCCCTGAGTAACTGACGCTCGCTTGCCAGTGGCCACCTTGGCATGGCCTTCTCATTCTACCACATGCTTCTCCTTCTCTCTCTCTCGAACTCTTTCCGATAAATAAATAATTCTTTAAAAAAATAAAAAAAAAGTTTGAGGGCTGGCGTTGTGGCACAGTGGGTGAAGCGGCTGCTTGAGATGCTACATTCCATCCTGGAATCCCAGCCCCTTCACTTCTGATCCAGCTTCCCCCCAACAACACCCTGGGAGACGGCAGGTGATGGCTCACGTGCTTGAGCCCTGCCCCCCCCCCCCCCCCCGGGGGGGGGAGAACAGATGGAATTCCTGGCTCCTGCGTGGCCTGGCCTACCCCTGGCTATTGTGGGCTTTGGGAGAATGAACTAGCAAATGGAAGTGCCCTGTGTGGGTGTGTGTATCACTCTGCCTTTCAAATAAGTAGAAATAAAAACATTTTTGAGTTGTAATCTAAAAAAGTGTAATAAGCCTAAGGTAATAAAATAGCTTATGTTTTAGCAAATTTGGTTTATACTTTCTTTTTAAAAGAATATTTGAAACACAGTTACCGAGAGGGAGAGACGGAAAGAGCCACAACATCCCAGGCTGGGCCAGGCCAAAGCCAGGAGCCTGGAGCTCCATCCAGGTCTCCCACATGGGTGGCAGCAGCCCAAATATGTATGGTTTCACCCATGGCCTCTCAGGATAGGTTGGCAGGAAGCTGGGTTAGAAGCAGAGTAGCCAGGACTGGAACCATGATTCGTGGGATTAAAGATGCCAGTCTCAGAAGTGCTGACACGCTACTGCACCACTATTCCCACCCATAACTCAATTTTTAAATGGCTTATGATAATGCTTTTCTCAAGAAAGGAAATTTTTTAAAAAGTAACTCTCAGCTGGAAACTTCATTGCTAATACATCTGTCAGAGGTTGCTAAGGAGTCCGCGAAGCATTGTTTGGTCACAAGCAGTGCATCGTGGTCACAGAGTGAGTGAGTGTCGTCCTAGGTGAGAATTCTGCCATTGCCAGCAGGATGGCTTCAGGAAAAGACACTTGTCCTCTGTTTCCAAAACTCACCAACAACTGCTCTGATGAGAGTTTGAACAGGCCTCTTAACAGGTGAGGGCTTACGGGATCTGGAGACTTGTTGCATTCTCTCGGAGCTACATAGATGCAGGGTTCTCAGCATCTCTGTAGACGTCTTTCTGTTCCAGAGGGAGGCGCCGGACATGTGCAGGGAGAACGCGACACTGCACGTGCGTGAGTTCAGAAACCGAGTTAGTGACTGGGTTTTGTAACTGGCCGGAGACTGCCTTTGCCAAGTGTGCTGCCTTCTTCCTTCCAGTCGAGTTAAGATGGACATGAGGGGCAAAGAGGGAAGGAGCATGTGTCTGGAGGTACCCAGCATGGACTCCTGGTCCTTGGGGTACTTGGTCATCTCGTTGATGAGCCTGAGGGGCACAGCTGTGCTGCCTGCCCTTGGGGTGGTCAAGTGTCCTGGACCCACAACCGCCTCTGTTCCCGAGAATGGCGCTGAAGGGGCTGACTTTAACTCACCGCATCCCTTCTTGTTGCTTTCCTGATCTTCAGGTACGAGGAGATTCATTTGCCACGGTTTTCGGTGAAGCAAGGGCTGATCCCAAGACGTTACGTTATGCCTTGGAAACAAAATATGAAATTCAGGAACCTGAATCTGAAGGTATATTTCCACGAGTATTCCTAATTTTTAAGCCTATACTGTTTAGTATATCTGAACAGACACACAGAATTATACAGAAACTGGAGGCAAATGCAAGCCGTCTCTGTTCAAATATCCCTGTAGAACCTCTAGGCATCACGGAGACCTGATTGTACAGCCTATGAGTAGACGCCGTTAGCATGAAAGCGACGGGTGGGCTAGGGACCCTTGGTTCCCGTATGAGATGCCTGGATCAAGTCCTGGCTACCGCACAGGCTGCTCGCACGTTCATGCTAATATGCTTGGGAGACAGCGGATGATGGCCTAAGAGCTCGAGTCCCTGCCACCCACGTGGCAGACCCAGACAGAGAGCCTGGCTCCTGGCTATCACCTGGCCCGTGTTGAGGCACTGGGGAAGTGAAGCACTCTGTCTCGCTTTCTTCCTGTCTTTGTCTCTCTCTGTCAGTCTACTTTTCAAAGAAGTCTTTTAAAAATATGTATTAAAGCTACAGTACAGAGGAGGTGCTTCCATGGTGTGTATTCAGCTAGAGAACCATGGGAACAGCTTGGCCACATTTATAGGTAAGACTCACCTACGCAATGCTCCTTTTCACCCAACAGTTTCAAAACATTTTCTAGATTTAGACTGACTTGTGAAAAGTAAGCTGTTTCTTTAGAGGAGAATAGAATATAACGTAATCATCGGGGGCCGGAGTTGTGGCATAGCAGGTAAAGCTGCCGCCTGCATCTCATGATGGCAGCATCTCACGGGCACCGGTTTGTGTCCCTGCTGCTCCACTTCCAGTCCAGTCCCTTAATGACCTGGGAAAGCCCTGGAAGATGGCCCAAGACCTTGGGCCCCTGCACCCACATGGGAGACCTGAAGAAGCTCCTGGCTCCAGGCTTCAAGCTGGCTCAGCCTTGGCCTTTGTGGCCAACTGGAGAGTGAACCAGCAGATGGAAGATCTCTCTCTCCTCCTTTTTCTAACTCTGACTTTCAAGTACATAAATAAATCTTTTTTAAAAAAGGATATGTTGTAATAGACTATGAAAGGAAATTTCAGGTTAAAATTCTGAGAAACATGAATTTTTATAACTGATTAGGAGATATCAAGTGGATAAGCAGTTAATATAGAATAAAAATACTTTATTTCAAAATGTGTCATATATGTAGAAAATAAATTATTAAAATATGGCTCAATTGTTTTCTTGTAAAATGTACATATACTAAAAATAAACTGCATTTGACTGGCTAGGAGCCCAGAACCCCATCTGGGTCTCCTATGCCATGCATGGCAGACCCTTACACATCTGAGCCATCATTCACTGCTTCCCAGGGTACAGTAGCAGGATGCTGGGTTGCAAGTGAAGTAGCCAAGGGGTTGAATCAGCACTTTTCTATGGGGTACCAGGATCCCAAGTGGCAGCTTAATCCGCTGTGCCACAAGATCCACCCTCATCTGATATTCTGAAAACAAAGCCAAAACAGGAAATCAAGACTCCAGTGTTAAGCATCAGATTTATATACGCTTATTAGTAAGACTTACTGGAATCTTAGCATTGAACAATATATTGTGCAGTTCAGTGGCTCATTTTCAGTGTCCTAAATAGCTTTAACATGGTGACAGTATCAGCACTTTTTCATTTACTAAAACTGAACATGTAAACTATGATTTGAAATCAGTAAAGGAAAACTTTGCTTTGAATGCAGTAAAACATACAATTGTTTAACCTTACTCTTTCAATGCTACAATGCAGCATAACCGTTCAGAGCTGTTTTGCTGTTGCAGTGCAGTTGGTAGGGTCCCTAACACTTTTTTTGGAAGTCAGAGTCACACAGAGAGAGGAGAGGCAGATAGGTCTTCCATCTGATGGTTCGCTCCCCGGTTGGTCACAACAGCTGGAGATCCGGAAACCAGGAGCCTCTTCTGAGTCTCCCACATGGGTGCAGCGGCCCAAGGACTTGGGCCATCCTCCGCTGCTTTCCCAGGCCATGGCAGAGAGCTGGATCGGAAGTGGCGCAGCCGGGACTCTAACCGGCACCCATATGGGATGCCAGCGCTTCAGGCCAGATTAACCTGCTGCACCACAGCACCGGCCCCCTAACAAGTTTTAAAATGCAATTAGTGACTAGTGTGTAGACCACCATGAGAATCAAATAAGAGAATTGCATGAAGAGACCATGCCCATGCTGGGGAAATGCTGCCAGGGCTTCTTCTTTCTTCTGTTTATCCTCCTCCGTTTTCCAGCAAGAGGTGAAAAAATACTGCATTTAACAGCATCAGAATGACAACACGGTATTCTAGCAATGAGGCTGTGCCCTGGGCCAGGCCAGAACGCGGCTTGAAAGGACTGAAGGCCGGTGCCACGGCTCACTAGGCTAATCCTCCGCCTTGCGGCGCTGGCACACCGGGTTCTAGTCCCGGTCGGGGCACCGGATTCTGATCCAGCTCCCTGCTACTGCTCCTGGGAGGGCAGTGGAAGATGGAACAAGTGCTTGCCCCTGCAACCCATGCGGGAGACCAGGATGATCCAGGCTCTTGGCTTCTTCCTAGCCCAGCCCTGGACATTGTAGACATCTGGGGAATGAACCAAAGGATAGAGGATCTCTCTCTGTCTCTCTCTCTCTCTCTGTAACTCTGCGCTTCAGATAAGTAAAGCTTTAAGAAACAGAAAGAATTAGAAGTAGGCATATGCTTAAGAACCCCAAATAGCTGTTTAGCAGTCATTGTAGTAGCATCATATTTCCTACCAGTTTAGGACCTAGGATTTGGCAACAGTTTTTTCATTCACATGTGTTATTCAATATTCCAACATTGTTTACTATCCCCATTTTATGTATCAGCAAACCGAGTCTCATGGACCCAACGCCCATAGTCACCTTTATTTGTGGACACACAGCTGTTATTAGGAGTCAGGCAGCACTGAGCATCACAGAACTGGTTTTGTTTTTTTTTTAAGATTTTTTATTTATTTGAAAGACAGACATAAAGGGACATCTTCTATCTGCTGGTTCATTCCCCAAATGGCCACAATGACCAAGACTGGGCCAAGCTGAAGCCAGCAGGCTGGAACGCCATCCCATGTGTGGCACAGACCCAAGCACTTGGGCCATCCTTCGCTGCTTTCCAAGGCCATCAGCAGGAGCTGGATCAGAAGTGGAGCAGCTGGGACTCGATCCAGCGCCCATATGCGATGCCAGCACTGCAGGCGGCAGCTTTTCCCGCTATGCCACAGCGCCATCCTCCCAGCAGTTTTTAGAAAAGGAATGCTACTGTGCCCCCAGGCCTTCCCCCTCATCAGGGAGAGCTGGAAGAAGTACTGAGTGCAGTTCAGTTCACAACAGCTAAGATACAGACTCAATCCAGAGTCTGTCAGCTGAGGACCGGATAAAGAAATTAGGGGATATGTGCACCGTGGAATACTACACAGCGTTGAAAAAATCAATCAATGCTGTCATGAGCAACCAAGTGAAGGGAACTGGAGAAGGTCATCTTTAGTGAAAGAAGCAGTCCCCAAAGGACACACACCACGCGTTCCCTCGGATCTGTGAGAGCCCAGAGCACCTGCAGGGTGGTCTACAGAAGTGACGCTGACACCTTGAGATGCGTGACTTGAGCGGCCCTGGGCTCCACAGCTGGGGAACAGTCTGTTTTCTTTACATATTATCTGTTGCGCTCTACTTAGAATGGAGTTAATTGTACGTGCGTGAAGTTAATTGAAAATAGATCTTAGTAAAAACAGGAATGGGTGGGGAGAATCACTGTTCCCGGAGTTGAGTCTATGAAATGCGTGAAGTCGGTACTCCCTGAACAAAAGGTTTCTGTGGGAAAAGTGCTGGGAACCTTCAGGCCCCTCCAAGAACACCGTGACGGTGGGCGTGGTGTGACGGCAGACAGGAGCGTGGCAGTGGGCATAGTGTGTGACGTCAGACAACAGCAGGATAAGTGGGCATGGTGTGACAACAGACAAGACTGTGACAGTGGGCGGGTGTGTGACGGCAGACAGGAGTGAGATGTGGGCGGGCGTGTGATGGCAGACAAGACCGTGACGTGGGCGTGGCTGTGACGTCAGAGAAGAGCGTGACGGTGGGCGGGCATGTGACGTCAGATGAGACCGTGACCCACGTGGGCGTGACGTGGGCGGGCATGTGACGGCAGACCAGACCATGACGTGAGCGTTTGCATGACAGACCAGACCATGACGTGGGCGGGCGGGTGCATGACGGCGGACGAGACCGTGACGTGGCCATGGCGTGTGACCGTGGGTGGGTGTGTGACGGCGGCCTTGTTCCCTCCCGCAGCAGGCGGACGCGTGCGGCATCTACGCGGGGCCGCTGGAGGACTCGCTGTTCCTGACCCACAGTGAGCGGCTCTGCCACGGCGAGGAGCGCCGGGTGGTCCTGAAGAAGGGCCCCCCGGAAATCAGGATTGCGGACCTGCCTCTGCACTCGCCTCTCTCCAGGTACCAGAGCACCGTGATTTCCCACGGCTTCCGGAGGCGACTGGTCTGAGCGGAATAAACCGGCCTCGGCCTCTCTCCCCAGCGTCCGAGCCCTCTGCGCCGCGAGCTTCGCCGCCAGGGTCAGGCTGAAGCCGTCAGGCTCTGGATCGGCTGGCATGGAGGGGGCGGACAGGCGTGTGGCCCCGCCGACCCCAGCCCCGCACCACCTCACGGACCCGCCGACCCCAGCCCCGCACCGCCTCACGGACGACCCCAGCCCCGCACCACCTCACGGACCCGCCGACCCCAGCCCCACACCACCTCACGGACGGGAGGGT